TGGAAAAATGTGACGTGATGCAGGTTGATTCCAAGAATAATGGCCCAGCACTTGGAAATTACCTATATCCTAGTAAGATTATGCTGAATTTAGAACAATAAATGTGAAGAAGCAAAGGGTAAATTTAACCTATCATCTTCTGAGTAAGAGCCAGAGATAATCAGGTCAAAGGCACCAGTAGGACTTACATGAACTTCAAACCATAAAGACTTCTAAGAGGCGCAAAGAAGGTGACTAGAAAATCAACTAATACTTGTTCCTGGAAGAAGATTTGGGCTAGATAGAGAAATACCTTCCTTATGTCAACAGATTTAGTGGACTGGTATCTGGAAATTAGGAGCACATTATAGTCTGAGACTAGAGGGAATGGCCGAGATGATAAAAAACATGAAGCAGATTCTGGGAAGGGCTAAAATACCCATCCCATCTTGTAAAGAATCAACCCAAATTAATCTCTGAAGTTTCAGAGTCTTGACTTGGAATTTATCTCAGATAGGGTTGAATAAGTGAGGGGAACCAGGGGCTCAGTATTTTGTAATAGTCAAGCTAAGCTGTGGCTAGATTTCAGAAATTAATTAAGAGTTGAGATCTATATTCAATAAACTTGTTGATTTCTATGTGTTTATATTTTAGTTTCCCATTTTTTAAATTTTATTTTATTAGGTTATGTTAGTTAACATACATTACATCATTAATTTTTGATGTAGTGTTCCATGATTCATTGTTTGCGTATAATACCCAGTGCTCCATTCAATAGGTGCCCTCCTTAATACCCATTACTGGGCTAACCCATCCCCCCCACCCCCTCCCCTCTAAAACCCTCAGTTTGTTTCTCAGAGTCCACAGTCTCTCATGGTTCATCTCCCTCTCAGATTTCCCCTCTTCATTTTTCCCTTCCTACTATCTTTTTTTTTTTTTTAACATATAATGTATTATTTGTTTCAGAGGTAGAGGTCAGTGATCCGAAGGGGTATGAGCACCCCAATGTTTATAGCAGCAATGTCCACAATAGCCAAACTATGGAAAGAGCCAAGATGTCCATCAACAGATGAATGGATAAAGAAGAGGTGGTATATATATACAATGGAATATTATGCAGCCATCAAAAAACACGAAATCTTGCCATTTGCAACAACGTGGATAGAACTAGAGGGTATTATGCTAGGAGAAATAAGTCAATCACAGAAAGACAAGTATCATATGATCTCACTGATATGAGGAATTCTTAATCTCAGGTAACAAACTGAGGATTGCTGGAGTGGTGGGGGGTGGGAGGGATGGGGTGCCTGGGTGATGGACATTGGGGAGGGTATGTGCTATGGTGAGCTCTGTGAATTGTGTTAGACTGATGAATCATAGTTTCCATTTTTTAAAGTAAAGTTTCTTTAGAACATTTCAACTTTGCACTTGAATTAAAAAGAAAAGGAATTTTGTACATTACAGCTAGGATGGAAGAAAGGGGAAATCTGCATATTCCTAAAGTCAGATGTAATATTAATAGCTCTGGGAGTTAAGGCCCTACTGGCATAAAATATGAGTGTTTAGGAGAGACAGAGAAAAGTCACCTCTTACTGTTGGTCCTTTCCTCCTTGGTTGATTCCATCTCAATTGAGATCTACATACATAACTGCTGTAGAAATTGAGTGTCTGAAGTAGGTTAAGTTAGTAAAAAGGAAAGGAGACTGGTTTTGAGCTGGACAAGATTTGGCTTGGCTGTAATTACTAACAGACCATTCTTGGTGAAAAAGAAAAGTACACACACACACACATATATACATACACACACACACACACACACACAAAGTAGGCTTTGGGTTTGTAAGTGACAATCCATTATCTAGGATATAATCTTTATTTATAAATTTGTCCTTTTGTGGCTTGATTTAAGATTGTATTAATTTCTAAGTGGTGCTATAACAAATTACTACAAACTTAGTGGCTTAAAATAACACACATTTAAACTCTTACAGCTCTGAAAGTCAAAAGTCCAAAATAGGCTTTATGGGTATTATAAGGTATAATCAAAATGTCAGCAGGGCTGGTTCCTTCTGGAGGCTCGGGGAGAATCTGTCCCTTGCCTATTGCAACTTCAGAGGATAAGGCTAGTAGCCTTATCACTTCAATCTCTTGCTTCAGTCCTCACATCTACTTCTATAGGCAGATCTCCCTTTGGCTCCCTCTTATAAATAGGACACTTGTGATTACATTTAGGGCCCACCTGGATAATCCAGACTAATCCTCCCATCTCAATCTCTTTAACTTATTTACACTTGTAAATTCCCTTTTGCTATATACGGTAACATTCACAGGTTCCAGGGATTAGGGCCTGGATATCTTTGGGGACTATTTTTTAGCCTTCCATAGTCCATCCCCTGGCCCCTAAAGATTCATATCCTTCCCACTTACAAAGTGCATTCATCCCATCCCAACATTCTGCAAACTCTCAACACATTACAGCATCAACTGAAGTCCAAAATCTCTTCTAAATATCATTATTTATAAAGTCCCAAATCTCATCAGCTAAATCAGGTATGGGTGAGGATATGGGTATGATACATCCTGAGGCAAAATTCCTCTCCATTTGAAACTAGAAAACAAGTTATATTCTCTAAAAATACAGGGGTAGAATACAAATTATAGACATTCTCATTCCAAAAGGGAGAAAATGGAAGGAAGGAGTCAGCAGCCTCAAACAGTTTTAAAATCCAACTGGGCAAACTCCATTAGGTTTCAAGGCATGGTAGTAATCCTCTGTGGTTTGAGGCTCTGTCCTCTGGGCCCAAGGCACCTCCCTTGGAGTCATCCTTCCTTTTTCTTGAAGAATAGCACTTGTTCACAGCTTGCTTGTGAACTTGTTATCAGCCTGCTTCCTGGCTACAGAACTTGGGGAGTTCAATATTCTTCTTTAATCTTGTCCTCTGTCTCTTTCAGTCCAATTTGGCAGTGTTTCTGCATATATAACATTCTCAAAAACTTTGTGGGTATTGCATATATGTCATGGGGGTTCATGCCATTAGACAAGAGTGTCCTTCCTAAGATCTTTCCTGGATAATCATATCTCTATTCCTAGATTCTGCTAATGTGGTTGAGGGAATCCATGAGTCACAGCCTTATCTCTTCAAAGAGTGTGAATGAATACACCGATCTTTTGATCTTTCTGAAATTCTAGAAGAAGGTTGTCCAGCCATGTCCTTGACCTTTTTTCCAGAGCATGCTTTCCTGACAGCCAATCTCCTAATTTTATTATCTTTTCCCATCTAAGACTTTCGTCAAGTCCTGGTTCCTTTTTGCTTAACTATTCTTCTCTCAATTATCTTTTTCCTCTTGCATTTTACTATAAGCAGCAAGAGAAAAACCAGGCCATGATTTCAACACTTTGCTTGAAAATCTCCTCAGCTAAATATCCAAGTTCATAATTTTTTTTTAAAGATTTTATTTATTTATTCATGACAGAGAGAGAGAGAGAGAGAGAGAGGCAGAGGGAGAAGCAGGCTCCCGAGGAGCAGGGAGCCCGATGCGGGACTCGATCCCAGGACCCTGAGATCATGACCTGAGCCGAAGGCAGATGCTTAATCATCTGAGCCACCCAGGTGCCCTCCAAGTTCATAATTTATAGTTGTGTTTTCCACATAATACAGGACACAATTCAGCTAACAATCCCTCTGTCACTATACAACAAGGATCCTTTTCCTCAAGTTTGCAATAACATGTTCCTAATTTCTTTCTGAGCCCTCACTGGCCATGCCTTTAACATCCCTATTTCTACCAACAGTTTGTTTAAAGCAATATAGACTTTTTCTATCATGTGACTCAAAATTCTTCCAGCCTCTATCCATTACCTGATTACAAAGCCACTTCCACATTTTTTAGATATTTGTTACAGCATTACCCCACTTCTTAGTACCAAAGTCTGTATTACTTTCCCATTCCTGCTGTTAACAAAGTACCACAAACTAAGTCGCTTAAAACAACACATATTTATTCTCTTACATTTCTGGAGGTCAGAAGCCCAAAATGAGTCTTTCAGGACTAAAAACAAAATCAAGGTGTTAAAAAGGCTGTTCTGGAATCTCCAGGACAGAATCTGTTCCTTGCCAATTCTAACTTTTAGAGGCTGTGGGCATTCCTTGGAAATCTTTGACTCATAGCTGCATCACTCTAATCTCTTGTTTCTGTTGTCACATGTCCTACCTTCTATAGTCTGAATTCCCTCTGCCTTCCCTTTATAAGGATACTTGTGATTACATTTAAGGTCCACCTGGAAAATCCAGGATAATCTTCCTTGTCTTGAGCTCCTTAAATTAATCATACCTGCCTATATAAAGTAATATTCATAGGTTCCAGGAATTAGGACCTATACACCTTTGGGGACCATTAATCAGTCTTTCACAAGGGTAGTTTGGAAATTTGCAGAGCTTTTTTTTTTTTTTTTTTTTTGTTAATAGTGTAGTGATTTGTTTAATGTCAAATTTGTAATAAATTGTATAAGTTTGTAATTTGTAGTAATCTGCTTAATGTGTCTATCATTAAGTTTAATAAATTAAATAAAAATTGAAGTACTAATTAAAATAAATATTAGATTAAGTGGAATTTTCTAATATTGTCAACCAATTCATTATATGACAGTATAAAAGACCTAAAAAAAGTTCCTTGGCTATTACTCTACATAAAATTAACATGTATTCAAAATGGAAATACAGGTCTCAAGAAAGGGGAGAACATGTTAGTTAAGCGTGCACTTGGAATGAAGATACAATATTATTTGCTAACAGTCACACCCTATGTACCAGATTCATAAGCACATCTAAAATTATCAAGCTTGCTCAGGATATACTGGATTAGAAACTTAGGTTCCAGAGGCTCTAAATTCCCTCTCAGATCCAGTTTAATAAAGCAGTACAAGATCAAAAAAATAAATAAATAAAAAGGATAGAAACCAGCCTGTATCGAATAATGCTTTGATTGTTATAATGACATATTATTAAGGCCGATCTCCTTACCTAGGCTGGAATAAATGTGGCTGAGAATGCGGGCTGGTTGTACTCTGATAGGGTATACCTCAGCAATGGTCTCCACATCGATTCCCCTGTCCTTCAAAATGGCCTTGATTTCTTCTGTCTCAGCTAGAATGGAAACTATAGGAAGGAAAGAAGATGAGGTCAACAGAAACTTTTATTTCAATAGGAACCTAAAAATCTCTCAAGCCACATAATTTCTTTTGAAGGGAAGAGAAAGAAAATGGGAGGAAATTAACAGTTATTGAGGAACTTTGATGAAACAAGTCTCATGCTAGGTACATAACACTATTACCTAAATGGAAAAGGAAAAAGGATCTCATGACTAGAGTATTAGATTCTGCTTTTTTGGCTAAGTACCTATGTGCTCCTAGAGAATGCAATACTCTTTATATCTGAGATCCCATGTTCGAATAGGGAAAAAAAATCCAACATGAGGTGTGTTACAGCTTTGGTAAAAGTTGATTCTCCAAGGCTCTTTCATATCCTTAAGACCAGACAGGAGTTTGAGGGTAATAAAGAACACCCAAATAATAAGAATTACTCTATAGCCAGAGCATGGTAGAAGACAAGGTAAACTGGGAATAAAGAATTGAGGTGCCATAGTTAAAACTGTGTGTGGTTGTTTTGGGATTGGGGGGGTAGGCTCTAGACTCTGAGCATGACAAGCCTGGATAGCTCCCTTTTATTCCTGTTATATTCATGTCTCTGAAGTGCTTATCATACTCACAAGGGAGGAGGCCAAGTCAGCTCCCTGACCCTTCTGTTTACTTTCCCTCTAGGGGACAGATACCTGGCTGGGGGCTAATAATCTGAGTGGGGCCTCAGCTGGCTTGACACTAAGCACTGAGGGCAAATATGTGCCGTATTCCTGTTTCTCCAGTGCTGGTGGATGTGTTGAATTGGGTTTATGCGAAAATGAAGGTACCATTTGATTCATTCAAGTTTACCAGTATTTTCTATGTTGAGTGTTTGGGACAAAAGCCTAGTTAACAGAGTTTTACTTTCTTTTTCTTTGCCATTGTCTTTTGTATGTCTTTCTTTGTGTGTGTGTGTGTGTGTGTGTATCTTTCTATCTTGGGAGCCTCATGGTATTGTGCTGCTGTGGTCTGGGTCAGGATATGCAGGATATAGTGATCACAGGGCCCCCTGGACATAACACAATCTCGATTACTTATAACTGGAAACATGAAAATGACAAAGATTCTCCAGGGAAAATATACAAAGGAAGAATGATAGTGAGCTAAGGAAAGTCCAGGAAAACACATGTGGTCATCCATTCATTCACTAACAAACATTTACTAAGCACCTAAATGGATGAAGTACTATACTAGGCACTAGGGATAAAGAGATGGGTAAGTTAGTCTCTCTCTTGAAGAGCTTACAGTGTAATGGAAGTGACACACACATAAGCCAATTATAAAACAAGCTGCTAGGTAACTAGAGATATGCACAAAACACTGTAAGCCCCAAAGAGCGACACGTATCAAGTCTGGGACAGGTAGAGAGTGGTTTCAGAAAAGGCTTTCTGAAAGAGATGATGTCTAAGCTGAGTTTGAAAGAATGAATGTTAGCCAGGAGAAAGAAGGGAATAGGGATGGGGAAATCCATTTTAGGTACAAGGTACACGATGATCATAAAACATGGAAATGAAAAAAGAACGTGTGTGGGGGTTGGGGAGGAACTACATACACTTCAATATTCCTGTAGCATAAAATAGTTTGCACAGTGGTTTAAAAAAAAGAATCTGGAAAGGCAGACAGAGGCTAGATCTTTATGGAGGATGTATGTGTCACTTTTAGGATTTTGTATTTTATCTTTGGGTAATGATTTCCAAACTGCATTCTACTGAGCTTCAGGGATCTGCAGAGAGCAATGCACTGAAAGAGAGGCAAATGAACAACACTTTGGGGTGCTAGGAACACTTTCGACCCCAACATCTGAGCTTTTTTTTTTTTTACTTTATGTTTTATAAAATATTTAGGAAATTCCACCTATGTGCTAAGCACTGCCAAATGCTAGCAGTACAGAGATAGACATGATCCCTGGAGAAAATGGCGCTGATACTGAGTTCTGCTAGAAGGCTGAATAGAAATTAATCTGGCAAAGGTGAAGGTAAAAGTAAGGGAGTTGTTCCAGGTAGAAGAAACAGCACAGACAAAGGCTCAAGAGCAACATGGAACAAGGCAGATCTAGGAATTATAAAATGTTCTTTACAGCAGGAGCGTGGAGCGTGAAGGGGCCATTGTAAAAAAATGACAATGCAGACAGGGTCAGACACCAGACCATAAAAGGCCTTATAAGCCATGTGAAGGAGGTTGACAATGGAAACCCTTGTAAGTTGTAATGAGGGGATTAATATGTCCATAACTGCACCTTACAAAAGAACATATTAATGTTTGATGATTAAAGAATAAACTGATGGACTGTTGTGGGCCTAGACTGAAGACAGGGATACCACTTAAAAATTTATTGCACTAATGTAAGTGAGAGATGTTAATTACCTAGATTAGGATCATGACATTTGTGCTGGAGAGGACTAGATGGATTTCAGAATCAATTAGAAGGTAAAGAAATCAGGATTTGTTAGCTGATTGAATATAGGAGGTGAAAGAGGGGGAGATATTGAGAATGATTTCCCAGGTATTTGTATGTGTAACTAAGAGAATGGTGTGGCCTTTAGTGACACAGGCACATAGGGAGAAAAGCAGGCATGGATGATATAATAGTAGGAGGGTGCAGCTGTCTAATTTTAGACATGTTGAGTTTCAAGTGCCTGTGAAACATCCAAGTGAGGCCATCTTAAAGAACAGTGATATAGATTCAGGAGTCATTAGCATATAAAGAGATGAGATGGGTCAAGGAGAATATATATAGAAAAAAAGAAAAGAGACCCCAGAATATAACCTTGAGGAAGTTCAACATACAAGAAATGGGCAGATGAAGAAAAGCCTAGGGTGAGAATGAGGAGTTTTTGTCCCAAGGCTGATATTTTCTTTGTGGTATAGGAGGTGAAGTCATCTTCTGAGAGTGAAGAACTCAGGAGACAGGAAAAGGGAGAAGGTGTGGAATAGGAGGAGGCTGAGAGACAAGAACAAAGAATCTAAATAATAAGGTAAATGGACAGAACTCCCAGGAATACCAACAGTTAGGGGGCAAAGAGAATAGGAAGCCCAGAATGAGACAGAAAATTGCAAAATTTAGGTTGAAGAAGATCCAAGAGATGGTATCACAGAAGACATGGGAGTTAAGAGTTTCCAGAAAGATAAACAATAAATGAAACAGAAAGATCTACTAAGATGTGGATTGAAAAATACCTACTGAATTTTTCAATAACTTAAGCAAAAGCATTTTCAGAGGAATTATAAGCTAGACTGGAAAGGACTGCAGAATGCATGGCATATAAAGAAGAGGAAATTCAGTTGAGAAAGGAAAGACAGGATAACTAAAGGGAGATGACTATGTAAATAAACTAAAAACCAGAACCAACAGAGAGGAAGAGTCTGAAGAAACAGGAAAGAGTAGGTTTCTAGGAAGGCTGGGGAAGAGGATAAGATCAAGCACTGGAAGGAGGAGTTGGCCTCGAAGAGAAGAAATACCTTTTCTGAGACCAGAGAAAAGGAGACAAGGATGAATGAAAATATAAGTAAGATTGTGGTGGGGGGCTGGGAAACTGACAGCAATCAGAATATTAAGATTATCTAGCTAGATTAAGATATCTAACCTTGGTAGCAGGCCAAGAAAGAGGATGAAAGTAAGGGATGGGGTTGAAAACAGGTTTGGAATAGTGGTCGAAAAGAATGAAAATGCTGAGTAACAGTAAGAACAAGGACCAGCAGGAGGCACTGTGAGTCTAGTTGAGTTGGAGACTGCAGAATTACAGTGCTACCATCTGCTCCTTTGTGTGATTTTTTTTTTTCTAGTAGTTTTAGCAGGCCAGGTACAGGATCAGAAAATGCAGACTGGAAGAGGCTGGGAAGATGACAGAGGAGAACCCTCAGCTTGCCTCGTCCCATACATACAACTAGATAACACTCAGCAGTGTAAATAACCCAGAAAACGATCTGAAGACTGGCAGAACAAACTCCACAACTAAAGGTAGAGAAGAGGCCACACTGAAGAAAGCAGGAAGGATGGAAATGCAGTTTCGGAGCAAAATGGACCATGGCCATCTGCAGTGGGGAGGAAGCTGGTGGCACAGAGAAAGGCAAAAAACAGACTATACACTGGGGAGCCTGAACAAGGAAGATGAATCCTTATAACGTTTGGCTTTGGAAGTGAGAGGGGCCGAATTTTGTGAATTCTTACAACCAGCAGGACTTAAAGCCTGGAATTTTAAAAATCAGCAATCTTGGTTCTGGGAGAACCCAGAGGGCATTAGGAAGTGGAGTCCCTGCCCTTTAAGAGGCTACAGGAAAAAGAGCCAGCAGAGATACAGCGTGGAAGCAGCAGTTTGAAAAATGCTGGGGGCAAATGGGAGGGAGAGTTATTTACTCCTCTCAGAGCATGTCCTGGAGAGGCAGGGATCGCAGGGAGACCCCTCTAGGAATAAAGGAGCTGGCAGGCACTATTTCCCTCCTCCACCCCTCAGCATAAACACATGGCCACCTGCACAGGAACCAGCACAGTGCTGAAACTTGCTACCTAACTTGCTGACACCAAACCCTGTCACTCCCGTGCTTGGGCAGATCCTCCCTTTCCAGTCACACCGGCCTCCGTCATGGTGCTGCAAGTACCCTCCCCCAGAACACAGGTGCAAACCCCACTAACACCTTATCTCCAATCCACATGTTCTGTGGGACTGAAGTTCCAGTGGTGGTGGCAGGACTCACTTTGTAAGCTGACAGGTGCACACCTTGTTAAAACATGCCTCACCCAGCTGAGGAGCAAACACTGCCCACAACAGGCAAAGAGAGCCTCTGCAGACAACGGGACTGAAGGAAAAAGAGGCCAGGACTCAAGAGCAGGGCATACACAGCACACATAGGAGATACTCCCTGAAGCACGAGGTCCTTGGGAATGACAAATTGCACTGCAGGGCACTACAGGACCTCTTCTTCATAAGGCTATTATCATTAAGAGCAACAGAAGTAGCTGACTTTCCTAACACAGAAACAGAC